CACACACACACACACACACACACACACACACACACACACGAGGCCATATCTTTTATTTATTCAGACTCAGTCGCATTAAATTTCACTCTCTGCCTTAAAGTGTTAAGCACAATATTTCCCAACTGGGCGTCAAGTAACATAAAATAGATTTTTCTTGTTGTGTTTTTTCCCAAAAAGTGCGATGTGTCCACATGGCACGAGGAGAAGGGCGTTCTGATTGAGATGGGGGGGAACTATTAAGTCCGACTGCGCACATGTGCGTGCCGAGGACAGCGGGCTTTGCCTTTAAGCAGCGCTTTGTTGTAGCGTGTGATCCTGGCAGCCTGGCCGGACTCTTTTGGGTATGTGCATCCAGGCCTCAAATGTAACTGTCCAGCTGGAGTCATTACAGGCCCGAGCAAGTGCCCGTTGTAAAAAAAACAAACAAATAAATTAAAAAAAATGAAGGGGGTGAATGTCTAATCTACCAAACACAAACACAGACTGGTCTGAGGAGAGGTGATAAGACGGTGGTCGTGATGGTGGTGGTGGTGGCAATGCCTTCAAAGAGATTTCTTGTTTTTCCTTACTGGAGACCATCTGAAAGGCGCTGGGAGAGGGCGCATTTACGGACAGAAAGGACACAAAATCAGACTTAATGCGTGAATGAAAGAAAAAAAGAAAGAAAGAACACATAACTGAGGTGTAATTTCAAGCTCAAAAGTCGGCATCTTTACAAAATGCACTTCCACAACTGACTGCGCCAAGGACATGTGGTCAGCTGAATTCGTCTTCTCTGATGACGAAAAAACAAAATATTAAAAAAAGACAAGAAAAAGAAAAAGGACTCGCAAACGAGACGTTATTTAAATGCACATTAGCTTTGAATGCACTGCTGTTCGTTTTCTTTTTGTTTGTTTGAGTTGTAAATACTTGTACAGTCCCCCGCCCCAAAAGAACTCTACAAAGTGCAACGAATGAAGAAATGAGAAAACGGCATTTCTTTGTAAATGTACAAAAATGCACTCAAATCGGTATAATTTCTATTCTATAATTATTTTATTATTTGTGATGTACAGAGTTTTCATGATAATCATATATTTCTTACGTGGATAAGAGTAATTTAAGGTGTATTGATATTTTGCAGAGGGTGGAAAATACCATTATTAATGTCTACCTCATAATTGCATATAGGAGGTGCATTCAGTTAGAGTGTAAAGAGCTTTTACAATGATATATAAGATCATTTATTTACATATATTACTGGCTAATATTCCACACCATTACTGTACAAATAAAATTCAAAAGAAAGCCCACCAGTCTGGCCTTCTGATGATTGATGCCAACTATTCTTTTAAGAAAAATTATTTTGCATTAATTTGATGTGTTTTTAAGTCCAGTAAGAACTTTGCAGGGGATTAGTTCTGGGAAAGCTATGGGAAGGCAATAAGATGTCTTTTTAATCTGTTGATACACTAAATTGCTTGCGTTACTGATTCTTAATCCCTTGCATTTTCCACCCTTCATTTTCATTCATTTTCCCACTCTCGCAATATTCTATCTATATTCTATATTTATCTTAATAAAATCCTTCCTCTCATTACCTGAAGAAAAAAAGAATCACCTGATACTACTTCATTAGAGTCTCTCTGAGTAGTTTTACTTTTATTCCCTGAATGAGATGTACAAAGTGCATCCGGTCCACATACACGTTTCCTGGCAGGTCAGATCTGGTCTTAGTGAACACGTTCTCATCACAGACCACAAATGTAAGTGTGCACTGACTGGATGTGTCAGAATTGCCCCACATGGTGACCATCCACAGCGAGGGGAATCCACTGACTTGACTGTCGCTGATATGACACTGAATGCAGCTATTTCTCAATGAATTAGTCCTGCCTGGGTCAAGTTTACTTAATACTTTAATGTTTTCCAAACTGTGGATGAAAACAGGAAAAAAAAGAAAGTAAAAGAAGGAAAATAAAAAAGTTTGAAAGAAGGGATAGCTTCCATAGAGTGCTAGCGACCTTGGCCTGGAAACAATTAGGAAATTGCTTTGAAATGTTATATGTTGTCCAGGCTCTTGTACAGTATCATGTCACTCCCCACATGTTTGCTACACGGAAACAGAGGATACTAAGTGCACTCTTTAGCGGCCGCTGCAAATGACTGACACAACAAGCATTCCCCTGAGTATAACCAAATGCCCCCCACCCCAAACAGGCCACATGTCTGGAGAACCATCAACGGGGCGCTACTGTGAGAGATACGGTGCACCACCACAGGACTCTTTTCCGCACCAGAGATGAAGACTTTGCAGCTGATTGTGGATTAGAGAAACTGTAAAGTTGCTCAATCAAGTTGAAATTTCTAAGCTATTGCGTATTAACTCGTGCAGTAAACCTTTGCTGTTTGATTTATATTTATTTGACAAGTCCCTCGGTCTGGTGGGCACTGGCCTGGAGGTGAGACGGGATTTTAAGGGAACAGTTAAATGGCGATGAAAGGGAAAGGAATGCTTTGTTTACCCCGCTTCAATCCCTCACTCTTAAGTTGAACGTTCCTATAAAGTTCTCCATCACAACTGCGTTATTGTCCCTCCATCCACACCGAGCACAGAGAGAGAGAGCGAGAGAGCACAAAACCAGAGTTGTGTTTATTTGAAACTCGGTCCTAATACATTAGTCTAAGCAAACCAAAACTGGCAAAGAGAGGGGTCCTTTTCATCAGAAATGTGGAGAATGTATAACACAAATAGTCTTGACACCCCACATCTGTGCATGGAGGCTCCTCTTGAGAGAACTGTAAGGCTGCCCAAGTGAAGATCTACAAGGTGCTGTACTCAGTGAAAGCCCGGGAGCGTCTCCAAGAGTTTAGAAAATGTCTCGGCTCTTCTGGAGACATAAATGCTCCTCATACTTAACGGCTCTCTTATCAGTGATGCCCTCAGCAGCGACAGGAAAGGCATAAATCACACTGATCGTCCAGACAGCAGGGGACCTCTAAGCGAGTACAGAAATGTATTAAACCGGCATTAAGAAGCATTAGAAAATGCTCTGCGGAGGCTTAGATGCTGTGCTTTGACTTGCTCACCGGAGACATGAAAACACAGATGAGAATGCTTAGATTTGGCCGAGGTCTGACTTTTAAACTGCTACTGATACACTCCAGTAAGAATACAGTCAATTTATTTAACAGTTTTCTTTCCTCACATATCATTTATTTATTTGACCTCCATTTCCGGTTTCCCAGATAGTGTCGTCCCTTCAATAATAAAGCCAGACATTTCTTTCCAAGGCAGTGCAAGGTGGTGCTTCTCTGGGTTCAAACAGACGCAGAATAAATTGACTCTCACAGACTTACCCCACATTATTCAGCGAGTGTGAGCCTCTAGACGTATCTGTGTATCTGTGAGCGCGTCTGAGTGGACAGAAGGGCAACGGCACACACAGATGGGCAGATGAGTGGTGCAGGAGAGGAGCAGATGCCTGAAGTGACCCCTACTGCTGCCTTTCATTGAACCACTGGCTCAAACACAAAGGCGGGGGCTGGCCCCTAAACATTTAATACACTTGCCTCTGCTTTAATGCCAGAGGTCACTTTTTTTTTGTCTTTGCAGTGAGTCATAAAAAAGTAAAAATGTATTTGTAAGTTTCCCTTCTTCTTCTTCTTTCTTAATTTTTCTTTTCTTTTCTTTTCTTTTCTTTTCTTTTCTTCTTCTTCTTTTTTTTTTTTTTTGCAAAAAGACAACCCAAACTGCTCAGGTTAGCAGACATTGTCTGAGCAGAGAAATTTAATAAAGTCTGGACAAACACCCCCAAACCCTAAACAGCTATGATGTAACAAAAGAGACTGGGCTGCTCTCTTCTAACAGGGCATCTGCCTTGTGTTCCTCTAAGGTACAAAAGAAAGCTATCCCTGCCTCCTGCCAGGCCATACGGTAACAGGAAGACAGCAGACACCTCCGCTTCACCACAGATAACCTGCTAATTGCATTAAACACACTCCCAACTGGGCTTTTGAAATGTGAGGATGAAGGAAGTGTATCTTATTGCAGTTGCAGTCGAATGCCACTTAAATGTTTCAAGCAATAGAGCATTGTTTTCCCGAGCATGAAAGTCTACTTTGTAGCGTCACATTAAAACACATTTAGAACCTTCAAGAAACAGCAAAAGCTCAGGCTGATGGATCTGTGTTGAATACCTGTCCAGAGAAACCAGTTTGTGTTCTGTTTATTTTCTAAAGGAATGTCTGAGGGTGCCCTTTCACCCCTCCTCATCCATTCACTGCCCCTGGTCTATGTTACAGATGGTGACCCAGGTCTTCGCCATCCTTGATTAACAAGCGCACCTTTTAGGTTCTCCTGTGGATCTCTGCATAAAGGCAGCTTGTCTTCTTGTGTGCTCAGAGTCCATCTTTTTGTCTTTACGAGAGCGCATGTGTGAGTGTCTGAATGAGCTCAAGTGAAAAGTAAATTTACTCAGTTCGCAGTGACAATGCTTATGTTTGGGAGCACGGTAAGGACGTAACCTCGCTGCCAGTTTACATCCGTGCAGCGGCTCGAGAGCAGAGGGAAGGTCACTGACCAGCGGGCGCCTGACTCATAGCTTTCACTGGCCTACATGCTTGGGCCACTCGAGTATGTGGTAGGTCTAAAGTTGATGTTTTGTGCTAGCAACCTTTAAGGAAAAAACAAGAACTAATCAGCAAAGTGACCCCAGATTATGCTGAAAAAACCGTTTATGGCTTAGAAAAGAATCTGATGTGCCAGCTGTGCCATTCTTTCTGTCCTGATTGACACCGACTCAGTGTCGATTAACTTTTTTACTGCTCTACATAGGTTTAAAAATGATTTGAAAATGGGTGGTATCGAAAAAGGTGTTGGTTCTGCATTGTAAAACAAGACATAGAGGCAAAC